GAATATAATATAAAAACTAAACGGCTGCAGTACAACGATTTTCATCCGTCCTCATCTGGTGAGATCGAAACACGAATTTCTTCTTCATGTACTTTCATTCGAAATGAAGTTCCCCCTAACAATGGCAACAATAGATGGGAAACTTGCCGGTCGGGCAGACGACTTACTCAGATCGCGGGGTCGTGATTGGACCGAGTTGGCCGTAGAAGTGGGCGTCTCAGACGACTGTCGCGAGGACTGCTCCTCCACCTGCCTCCGCGGCCTCTTGGGGGTGGGCGGCCCGTCCACCAGAGGCGGTTCGCCCATCTGGCCCGAGACGAGCAACCGTGACGACGGCGCCGGCGTCAAGGCGGAGCCTCTGGAGGTGGGCTCGTCGACTTGTGCGATCGGACATGACGTGAGGCTAGTCCGCGAATGTGAATTTGTGTCGTCTGATTTGATGAACAGATTATGGCCCATTCTTGGGCTCAAGACCTGCATCCGCTGGAGACTGGCGTGAGACGGCCAGAAGAGACTACAGTTCCCGTGGACACGGTCAGGCAAGCGGGCAACAGGAGAACGGGACAGGATGACGAGACTAAAACAAAGTAATCCACGTGAGACAGACACTTCTCAACAGTCCCGTCTGAGAGTGCTGACAATGGCAAGGATCGAAAATCACGTGCCTATTTAAGCCGCGCGCTGATTGGCTCAGTACGGCCTGCGTTCTGATTGGTTCTCTGCCAACCAGCCAATCAGCCAACCAGCCAATCAGCCAACCAAATGTGGCTAATATGCAACTGGTTCGAACGGTCTGACGTCAAATGACAATCGGCCAATCAGGCGAGGCCTCAGGCAATTCTGGCCTCAAAACTGCAGCCACATGGGTCGGCGTCACAGTCACAGTGATGATGTTATAATTGATTGCACTACTTTAATCCCTAATTAAGTAGAGCCTAAATTTGGACCCTTTTAAATGTGTTATTTTTCAAGGTATACTCATTATATATATAAGTAGCTAAGTA